ATCTATCTACCCTGTCGGGCGCTTTCCCCCTCCTTTCTACTCTGTTGAGCGGCGCAAGCACCCGTCGATGCCATCGCAGGTCTTGCAGGTTGAACCTCTCCACATCGCAGGAACAACAGCCAATTCGCCTGGTCGATACTCCTCACGGCCTGCATGTGGGCCCTGCTGCCGCCGACGACAACTGAGCTTACATGGGAGGCCTGAATGCTGCACGAAACTCACGGTTGGCGCATCGGTGGAGGAATGATAACGAAAACGGGAAGGAATGAGAATGACGGTGGCGGCGGTTTAGAAGATGGAGGGGCGGCACATGGCTGTAGTGGGGCCGCACAAACCTTTGTTGCCTAAAATTTCTAGGAGGAAGGAGTAACATTATTCGTCCTCTTCCATCGCCGAGTTGTTGTCTCACCATTATCGGTGCCAGAGAAGGATTTGCAATGAGTTTTGACGGAGCATATTTTGGATTTTTGGGTGATTACTCAATTACACACCTACCAGTAATTGCCTTGTGGGCTCGTGGCTTCCCTTCGCTTACGAACTAATTCCAGCCTAATCAACGGTAAAGAAAATAAAATTAAGTCATGTGTATTAGTTTATCTAACGAAGATAATTGGTCCATGGAGTTGCGACCTCTGATCTTATTGGGAAGCCAAGTTCACTAGAAAGCACACCAGAAATTCCCAAATACATACCACTAATTTCGTGAAACATACCAGAAACATTAGAAAGCAAATCATAAATATTTTTAAAGCACACCAAAAACCTTTTAATGTGAACCATAAATCTTATGAAGCAAACCAGAAACATTATAAAGCATACCATAAATATTTCTAAAACACACTAGAAATCTCCTATTCCACATCACAAACACGGTAAAACAAACCACAAATATTTCATAATCACACCATAAACCTCATAATGTAAACCACAAACACGGTAAAGCAAACCACAAAAAGTAAACCAGAAACGTCCCAATGCAGACTAAAAATCTCTTAAAACAAACCAGAAACCCCACAAAGCAAACCACAAAAATTTGTAAAGCACAGCAGAAACTTTTTAATGCAAACCCAAAACACGATAAAGCAAACCACAAAAGGCATACAAAAAACATGAGAAAACCAAACCATAAATCTCGCAATGCAGACCATAACATCAGTGAGCAGATTCCGGCGCCGATAGACATATTCCGGCCTTGATAACTAGATTCCGACACCGGTAAGCATATTCCGACCACAGTGAGCATATTTCGGCGACGGTGGCATATTTCGATGAGAAAATAGCATATTCCGGCAACGAAAAGCATATTCCGGTGACCGGATTACGGCGACCAAAATTTTTGGCAGAAAAAAATTTTCTTTGTTTTATTATTGTTTAAACATAATTTTCATAATGACAATTATACCCCTGCTTTGATTTTACACTAGCTCAACTCAACTAATAAAAAGTCATCACATCCCTACCTTCCTATTGATAGAAGACTAGTGTTGTCACTATAACAACACAAAGGGTGTTGTCATAGTAACCGGTCCCTTCAATCGTATATCCTTTAGATTCTTCACATGATATCTGGATGGTGATAGTAGATGTGGTGAGGCTAGACAATAATTTTTAACGGGGAAAGAGAATTGTCGATTTTATTAGTTTCAATTAAAGAAGAACGTGGTACTTGCTCACCTTATAGTTCGTCACTCTCCTTTTGTTTTACCAAAAAGTAAACGAAACAATAACAGATTAGTAGTTGTCGTCTCTACAATTTACTCTATGCAGAGCAGGAAAGATGAACAAAATTTTATTGTGTAGATTTGAAACTCGTCATCCAGCATATTCTATCAAAGGAAATTACACCCTCATAAGAAGGGCTTATGTGGATCGATTTTTTTTAACATCCTTGCGTCAATGTCTTTTCTTTTTGCTCTTGAAGCTTCAACAGAGCTTCCCTGACTAGGGAGGGGATAATAGACCAGACCGTTTGGAAAACCGTGGTCTAAATCGAACCGCACAATTTGGTGCAAACTTTAGACCGTTAAGTAGGATCTAGTCTGTATTATTTGATATTTTGAGCTTTTGGTCTGGTCTGGTTTAGACCGCGATTTACCGGACCAAACTGTGGACCCAGCCGACTTGTCAATACGTTTTAGTAGCCCTTTCAACCACTCTCCCAACTCCCACAACGAGACCCAGCTCCCAACCTTAATTTTGAGAATCTCTTCCCCTCCTTCCTTCACAACCAGATTTCACCAGAGAATAGAGACAATCGCTATGTTAGTGTTTATGACGTTATGGTGCAAGTTGGAATGCTTTGACTTTGTATCTTTGTTATGGACTAAGATTTATGGTGTTCAAATTATTCATGCGTGTTAGAATTTATATTTTAAAGCAATAAATAATTTTTTTCTTGGATATTGGTTCAATTTTTGTGTGGTTAACTAAATAAATTGTTAATTTTTCGTTGAGTGTGGTCTATCTGGACCAGACTATACCGGACCAGACTGTACATGCGTAGTCTAGTATGGACCGTATAGTTTGTGGTATGATATGTGGTCTATACTTCAGCCTCTCGGTCTACCCCATAGACCGTATATAGTCTGGCCTAGACAGAATTTTATAATAATTTGGTTCGTTCCTTGGTCTCATGAATTTTATAATTACTGAAGAAAATTATACCAAATTGACATTTCGACCGGACCAAAGTGGACTAAAGCGGACCGAATGCACTATTGGTCCAGCCCTTGGTCCTAAGATATCTTTCACTATTGAACCATAATTTTCCTGAGTTTGGTCTGATTCGGTTCCTATCCAATGCCCACCCCTACGTGTAGTGGCATAACAAGTTTTTTCATTGATAATCCGATTATGTATGGGCTACCGTGTCTAGTTGAATTCCCAGATAAAACTATTAGTACCAGGTGAACTCATATTGCCAAATTAGAAGAGAAGAAAATGATTGAGAGATTGGGTATGGTGCTCACTAACCCTCCGTAATATGTAACAAGTTAGCCTTATATTTGAGTCATTGTACCTAGGGATGGCAATGAGCCGGGTTGGGTTGGGTTTATCCAAATCCATGGGTATATCCATAAAAAATACATAGGGTAAAACCCATTGTGTTTGGAAAACTCAAACCCAACTCGCTGGGTATCCGTGAGTTCGTGGATACGCATGTGTCTGTGGTAAAAAAATACACTTTCATTGCCATAACTATTCGCGTGTGACAAATATAGCCAAATTTTGAAAAATAACTCATATAACCAAAAATAAAAAGTTTGTAAAACTTTATTGTCAACTATAGCCATTTTCGTTACTACCGTTAATGTCATCATGAACGTCGTCATCGCCAAGTGACATGGCTTCCACCTGGACGACATGTCATTGTCAACTATACTCGGTTTGCACACGTCACCGCTCACTTGGATTCCAACAAGATTAATTTTTTTTATTATATAATTAATTAGTTCCCCTTTAATTACCCCATGTTGTGTCTTGCTAAAAATGGTTAAAGAAAATAAGAAGGAAGATGAGAATCACTTAGCTACCCTGCCGCTCTCAATCCCCCGCCGCCACCGACCATAATCATAGCCAACCCACTATCCGCTGAATTTGTCGTCGAGCGCTCGCCAGTAGGAGATGCAATTGTGAAGGACGTGCTGAGATAGAATCGATTCGTCTTCTTCTAGAACTGTCTATCTTCTCCTTCTTCCGTGAATCTAGGATCTGCAATCAGGCGCGTCGTTGTCTTCTTACATACCCATTCATCTTCTTCCGGTGAGATTGAGAGTCCGAGAGAGAGAGAGAGATTGCAGGCAAGATGAGAGTGAGAGTGGATGGAGACGCGACGAACCTTTAGTCGACGAGCTTGCTATTGGTACTCGCCCAGATTCTAATTCGTCAATCCGAACTCTCCCCAATCAATCTCGCCTACCAAATCCGCCACCAATCACCACCATCGTTGTCTACTCCACTTAGATCCAATTGAGTACATAACTAATAGAGATTTGAAAGGGATTGAGAGGTCGACGATGACATGATTTTCCAATTTGGAAGGGACCGAAGAATTATGGATTTCGATGTGAAGAACAAAGGTAGAATGTAGGATGAGGGCGACAACCGGCAGGGAAAGCCATAAGGCGGGGGACACAGCGGGATGGGAGAGGTGGGGAGCGAGGTGTCGGCGTCGTAAGGAAGAAATCTCCAGCGGTGGGGTGTAATAGGTCGAAAAGGAAAGGGTAAAGTAGATTTTTTTAATTAAATAAATAAATATATATATTCCACGTCACATTGTCACGTCGATAAAAATTCACCATGTCATCAACAACCGTTTGTTCAGTCAGTAGTCGTGACAGTGTCGTTAAACTTTTGGACGGAATGGCTATATGAGTGTATTTTTCAAAATTTGGATATATTTGTCACAACGCGAATATTTATGGCTATAAAAATGTATTTTGCCAAAATAAAAGTCTAAAATCAATTTTTTCATAAAAAACACCAATGTAGAGCATACAAGCAAATTATAAATTATCCATACAAATTGTTGAACGTTAAAGATAAACATCTATAAAGAACATGTTTAATTGAAAGTTTCTTCCTCATCAACTAAACTTCTTTACTCTCCACTCCAGAATATCATCTTTATACTACACAATTAGGAAGAACAAATTGTACATGTCTTCACAAACATAACGATGATTAGTTGCTGAAGAAAAATATATTACTTTGAATATTATACACCAAAAAATTAATTATATTGGTGTTGGTGGGTACCCATGAGGCGGGTATGCCTAAACTAGGGGTGGGCATTCGGTCGGTTCGGTTTCGAATGAACCAAAATTATGAATACCGGGTCCCCGAAATTTTCCCAAACCTCAAGCTGAATTCGAACATAATTATAATTCGGTTCGGCTTGGAATTTCACACAAAACCGAATTTGTTACGCTACTTGTATCTTCTCCCTTTTAAATTATTTTCACCCCTAATATAAACAATAAATATGTAATTATATACATCATATAAAATCCCATCAATCGAATCACTTTTTCGAGAAATACAAGACATCTAAGTCATACAAGTAAAGTATTTATTCATAGATAAGAAAAAATCAAATATTTCAACATCATAAGTCATAAACAATGGTTTGGGGAAAAGATAAAATATCGGAGAGGCAGGAGGAGATGGGAGAACCTCCTTCGGTAATAGTTAGTTAGGCGTATTCTTGTTGTTCGGTAATTAGTTTCCTTCAGCCTGTTATCATGTGCATGTATGCTTCATTGGATATGACTTTACGATCATGATCTCACTCAGTCATATTGATTGTAGTTCTTCTTCGGAAGACGAGGACGGAGATCTAAAGCCCGAGGAGGAAGAAAGGATGAAAAGGGACACTCTAGGCCTTGCTGATATAGCTATAGAATACTACAACAAGAACGAAGTATGTTGTTTTGCTTTTTGTGTTTCTCAATCATCACTTCGCTAGCAGAGCATGTTCAATTCCCTGTTTCCCAGTCTATGGATCGAATTGCTTACTTATATCTATTATTGTTTGATGATGAACAGTGCGTGAGTTATGTGTTTGACAAGCCCTTTCTTTGCCGTTGCATTCTCTTTGAGCTTGTGATGGTTTTCCATTTCAACTTCACCGCCAAGGAGGAGAACGCCTCTCCCATGGAAGGGAACAACCCTTCCAGTCCGTTGTTTTTTGCTGAGGCCATCAGATACTACGGGGGAGATTTCAACATTCTCAAATGTGTCAAGTTGGATACTTCTGTAGACAGTAAGTAGTGTAGTTATTTGTGTATTGTTGGATTCAATCAAGTGTTATCAAATTGCTTCTAGATGGATGGTTAGATATCTCAAGTTGTTAATGATGATGCCTATTACTTTGCTTGATGCAGATGGTGTCCGCAATGGTTGCATCTATTGCCGTAAAGAAATTAAACATCCTCCTGTGGGAATATGCGAGTTTGGTGTGAACGAGATTGATGATTACATAAACTTAGAAAGACAAATGAAAGCAAACACCAGTCCATGACCAAGGAAGAAGCTGACTGACTGCCACCATTACCTCTCCTTCCCATACCCCAGATGCCGACCTGCTCAAGTAGTAAATTTCCCTTCTTGTTAGCTGCCTACCAAACTTGGTTTAACTTATATACTCTATGCAAATCTGTCCAGAGAAGTATGTTATTTAATATGTGTTGCTGCTATTAGAAACCGTAATAGTAGTCGTTCGGTTTGAGCGAGCAATGGTCTTTCCAAGTATGTTTACATCTGCGATCCATCATGTATTTTGGTTTCTGAAACTTATGCTCAGTATTCTAACTATCAGTCAGTTGTATGTTTAATTGTTCATAACATAATCCTCCCCCTGTCCGGCTTTATCTCAGTCGCACCTCTCTTCTCCTGTACGCCAATTTATGTTGCAGTTCGTTCGTTCACAAAAAAGTTTGAGGCTGGCAGACTACGATAAACGGCATGGTTCCGTTGCTGCACCCCATTTACAGTTATGTATTTGCGCACTCAACAGGATTCTTAATGTTGATACCAGGCACATACATGGCCTTCATCTTTGATGTCTCGGGGGCAACGTATTTGTGACTGCCAAGGGATGACATTGATCTATCTGGCTTCGGTTGGCTCTGCTACCAGCCCGGGCAAAGGATCTTTCTCCAACTTTATTTTTGGTTGATCTTCTTTCTGGACTCTGTATAACAGAGTATGTTATGTACTCTGTTTGCAACTTGGGTACTGAGGTTTATAACAGAGTCTGTTTGCAATGTGACATGACGGAGCGGGTGCTTCAATACTCATATACCCGCCCCGCACCAAACGTGGTCAGTGACAACTTGGTTGAGTGTATAACAAGAATGGCAACTCGGGGTATGCCAAACGCTCTAGAACCACTATAACCACTCCGGTGACGGCATAGCAATCACAATGGTCAATGACAACTTGGGGTATAACAAAGGTTTTTTTGAAACCATTGACCACTCGGTTGAGCATCATAACTAACAATCGCAATGGCTTGTAACAACCTGCTGTATAACAAACATTTTGGAACCATTGACCGCTAGTTAATGTAAGAAGTCACTTTTACAATGCCCAATGACAACTTGGTGTTTGACATAAGTTTTGGAGCCACTGACATCTTGGTTGAGGGTAAGGACTCACAATCACAATCACATTGCTCCAATGTCAACCGGTATAACAAAGGATTTGGTCTATAAGTTGACTCAGTGGCGGGTTCAGAAATTTTATATAGGGGGTGTTCTCTTCTAAAAATTAAGTTCAATTAATAATTAAATAATTATTAAATAAGAAAATATCTGATTTGTCCAAAGTACAACAAAGCACATGACGGGTTTCGTACTTTGGAAAAATTGTAATACAATCGTTGTCTAACAATGCTCTATAAATCCCTCTCGATATATCCTACTAGACTAGGGGAGCTCGTAATTGGGTTTAATCGTTAGCTTTTGAAAATAATTGGGATAAAAAATAGCTTTTTACTATTATATTTGGATTTGAAATACAAGAACAAATGATTTATAGTCTAATGAAAAATATGTTTACTAATGGTAGCATCGACCCAAGTTCAAATCACATAGGCAACCACTTAAATGTTTATATTACTCATACACAAACTATTATTAGGGGATTATAATCGTTTTTCCAAATTTTAGTACTGTCCCGCCACTACTTAAATATTTTTTTTTACCTATATGCAAACTACTATCGGGACTTGAATAATCGTATTTCCAAATTTTAGGGGTATCCCGGCATACCCCTAAAGTCCCATGGATCCGCCACTAAAGTTGACCCCTTGCTACTATATAGCGCTGATAGGGCCGTGGAATAAGCACAACAGTATTTTGTGTCTTCGAATTGTAGTAATATTGTGTGTATTGCCTTGTTTTGAATGCGATGAATAATATGCCAAAGGAGTTGTTTTAGAACTCACACGAGATCAGACAGATAGAAGGCTTCTGGTATTTCGTGGCGGCAATGGATGGCACCGCCGCATTCAGGTCCGGATTCGAGTCGAGAAACGACGACATTCTCTTGACATTCCAATAATGGTTTTCAAATCTTCAAATCTTGGTTTGCTCAGTGCCTTGGTAAAAATGTCAGCAGACTGGTCTTGTGTAGAGCAGTGTTTCATAGAGATCAATCCTTCTGCTTCAGCCTCTCTAAGAACATGATACTTGATTTTAATGTGCTTAGTTCTTCCATAGAACATTGGATTTTTAGTCATGGCCACAACAGAATGATTATCACACCAAATGACAGTCGGTTTAGTTTGCTCAAAACCCAAATTTGCCATGATTTTCCTCAACCAAACATCATGGTTGACAGCTTCTAAACCAGCAATGCACTCAGCTTCAGCAGTTGACTGAGCTACAATGCTTTGTTTCTTTGAACTCCAGCAAAAGATTGCAGATCCCAGTGAGAAGGCAAAGCCAGAGGTGCTTTTCATGTCTTCAGAAGATCCTGCCCAATCACTATCACAGAAACCTTCCAAACACACTTCCTTACCTCCTTCAAACTTCAAACCAAGATCAGTGGTACCTTTGATGTACCTTAGCATTCTTTTAGCTGTGTTATAGTGGATTTGAGTTGGAGATTGCATAAACCTTGCTAACAAACCAGAGGCAAACATTATGTCTGGTCTGGTTGCAGAAAGATACAGCAGGCTTCCAATCAAACTTCTGTAGACCTTAGGTTCAAATGAACCTGATCCATCTTCTTTTGTCAATTGAATTCTCACTGGAAGTGGTGTAGCAACAGCCTTGGCATTTTCCATTCCAAACCTTTTTAAAACTTCATTTGCATACTTCTTCTGGCATATGAAAATGCCTTTCTCAGTCTGCTCAACTTGAATGCCAAGAAAGTAAGTCATCAAACCCAGATCAGTCATTTCAAATTCATTCATCATGCTGGTTTTGAAGCCTTCTATCTGCTTCACATTGCTTCCTGTGATCAGAAGATCATCCACATACAGAGAAATCATCACAGTTCCAATCTCATCAGTTCTCACATAGAGGGTTGGTTCACTTGGACTCTTAGCAAACCCCAATCTTATAAGATACTCATCAATTCTGGAATAACAGGCTCTTGGAGCTTGTTTTAGTCCATAGAGAGCTTTCTTCAGTAGGTAGACATGATCTTCTTTAACTGGAATCTCAAAGCCTTCAGGTTGCTGAACATATATCTCCTTCTGTAAATAACCATTCAGAAAAGCAGATTTCACATCTAGCTGATGCACTTTCCAGTTCTTCTGAGCAGCAATAGCCAGTGGGAGTCTTATAGTATCTAGCCTTGCTACTGGTGCAAAAGTTTCACCATAGTCAATACTAGACTGCTGAGCATACCCTTTAACCACAACTCTTGCTTTGAACTTGTTGAATGAACCATCTGAGTTTAATTTAATCCGGTAAACCCATTTAGTTCCTATCACTTTTCTTCCAACATGCCTTTTAACTAGAATCCAGGTTTCATTTTTGTCAATCATTCTGCATTCTTCTTTCATGGCTGAGTTCCAGCCTTCATGCTTCAGAGCTTCCTGAACAGACTCAGGTTCTTCAATGGCCATGTTGCATCTTTCATACACATTGGTCAACGTTCTCATGCCTCTTACAGGCGTGTGATCATAGTTATCATGATCACTCTGATCATCTTCTTCAGACTCCAAATCCTCAGGTTGATCTTGCTCAAGAACATGGTCTTCATCAGCCTGAGGTTCTGGCTCATCATCTACATCTTGGTGATCTTGGTCATTTCAAATTCATTCATCATAGATGTCTTCAGATTCATTTTGAGGAGATGACCAATCATGAGTGGCCTTCTCATCAAAAATAACATCCCTGCTCAATTGGAACTTCTCAGTTGTTGGATTGAAAATCCTGTAGGCCTTAGACTCAGTAATGTAGCCCACTAGAATTCCCATTTCAGACCTGTGATCAAGTTTGTCCCTTTTTGGAGCTGGAACATGAGAGTAACACACAGATCCAAAGTTCCTGAGATGAAATAGACTTGGTTTGAATCCATTCCAAGCCTCATAGGGAGTCATCCCTTTAACTGACCTTGTTGTTAACCTATTGAGCAAGTAGACTGAAGTGTTCACAGCTTCAGCCCAGAACTTCTTAGGAACATTCTTCTCAAACAACAAGCATCTAGCCATTTCCATAACTGTCCTGTTCTTTCTTTCACTTACTCTATTTTGCTGTGGAGTATACCTGACTGTGAGCTGATGAAGTACACCTATGAAGCCAGCAGCTTCTCAAAGGCTAGAGAGGTGTATTCTTTCCCATTGTCAGATCTCAAAGTTTTAATCCTTTCATTGCTTTGATTTTCAACCATAGCCTTAAATTTCTGGAATTTGGGAAGAGCTTCAGACTTGTTCTTTAGGAAATAGACCCAGCAGTATCTTGTCAAATCATCAATGAATAACAAGAAATATCTACTTCCACCCCAAGATTCCATCTTGAAAGGTCCACATATATCAGTGTGAATCAATCCAAGCTTCACAGGAGCTCTCCAAGTGTGTTTCTTAGGAAAGGGCAACCTGTGTTGTTTTCCAAGCTGGCAGATTTCACACACACCTTCATTCAACTCAAGAGCAGGTAAATCCTTTACCAAACCCTCTTGAGCCATTTTAATCATAGTATGTTGACTGAAATGACCTAGTCTACTGTGCCACAAAGCAGATTGATCATTTCTAGTCACTACAGCCATGTTGGCAGTTTTCATTTTCAGGGCAAAACTCCTTTGAATCATAGAGAGATCAAACAGTTTATCTCCCTTTGAATCATACACAACACAGGACTTGTTTTGCATTTCCAAAGAGTAACCCTTTTTCAAGCATTTGTCCTACACTAAGCAAGTTCTTAGCTAGAGCAGGAACAAATAAAACTTCAGGGATTACCTTAAGTCCAAAGGCAGTTTGCACTGAAACTTATCCTCTACCTTCAACAGATAGTAGATCACCATTTCCAATCTTTACTTTAGACTTGTTGGACTTGTCCAGATCAAGAAAATACTCCTCATTGTTGGTCATATGATTTGTACAACCAGTATCCAGAAGCCAGTCCTCACTGCTGCTTGTAGCTGTGAAACAGGTAACCATAAACATCCCTTCTTGTTTGTTCTGTTCATTGGCTTCTGCAACAGCCACTTGTTCCCTGATACTCTTGTTTTTGCAGAACTTTTCAACGTGCCCTAGTCTTTTACATGACCTGCACTGCACATTAGGTCTATACCAGCAGTAGTTCTCAGTATGATTAGTTTTATTACAGATGGGACAAGGAGGATAGACCTTCTTCTCAGTTGGTTTTTCAGTATGCTCCTCCTTACCCTTTTTCTTCTTTCCAGGAGTTTTCTTAACTCCAGAACTTTTCCCTTTTGCCTTTTGTTGTCTTACAACCAAAGCTTCTTCTGAGTTTTCATCATTTCTGATGGAACTCCTCAACTCAGTTGCTTGAAAAG